TTTAATAAAAATCACTCAGCAGAAGCGGAGAACAAAAGGCGGCGCGGAGCGAGCTGGCCGGTGGGGATATTAGGCGTGCTGGGCTCCCACCTCCGGCAGGTCTGGTCTCCGCTGTGAGAGCGCGGTGGGCACGGCAGGCCGGGGAGGCTCTTATTAACCTTCATCTGAAGAGAGGCGCTGAAGCCACACCGCGGCCTGGTTTCATAGCTACAGCAGCTTTCTCTCAAGCTTGCAACCTTATGAAGAGGCAGTCTCCCCAGCAACCGCTTCAGCCCTGGCTCTAATGCGTTTTGCGCCTTACTGTCTAATCTGAGGTAGAAATGTCACCGCGAGCAGGCCCCAGGCTGGCAGCTCCCAGCCACGGCCCTATCTCGTAAGCACATATCCAGCTTCCACCTTCTGGTTGCTGGGGTGAAAGGGCCTCTTTATCTCCGCAGGGAGAGGCAGATGAATCCCGAGCTCAAACAAGGGACCCGCTTTTTTCCCCGACCAGACGCTCCCCCTCCGGTTCAAGGGCCCTTTATTATGTCTTTTAATTCTACGCTGCGAGTGGGAGGGAGCAATAAGGCCGGAGAAATGGGAAAAAGCCCCTCGCAGTGGGGAAAGGCCTCAGCCACCGGTGTGTGAAAAGGGAAGGCAGCGCGGGGATTAGAAACGTCAGCTTCATGGGAAGTACTTGATGTTTAATAGCTTTACTTGATTGCGGCGAGTCGTTGACGCGCGCAAGCGCTGGCACCGGGTTTGTTTGGGACAGCCGCCGGCGACCGCCCTTTCCTTGTGCCTCCCCTCGCGGCGCCGCGACGGTTGTCCCCGAAGGGCTCGCTGGGAGAAGCGGAGGTGCCCTCGGGAGCTATTGCAGCGTGGGCTAAGGCAGCGGGAAGGAGCCACGCGAGCTGAGATTGTGTTACGTTGGTGGCTCATCCTTTGCGTGTCTGGCCAGCGCGGGATGCTTTGTGGGAAGCCTCGCACCTGACGCGCCTGGCCTGGCAGGGCTTTGTCCCGACTCCGGCTAGCGCCCGGGTTCTGCCCTCAGTCTGATGATTTATAGGACTAGCGACTAGTTCCTTGCAGCCCGGGACTCTGTAAAGGTTGTCATATGGCCTGTCTGCAACATACTCTCTAGTTCACTCATGTTTATAGCCGCTGGGGGAACTGAGGCCTTTTAAAGCATTAGCGCTCCAGTTTCCTCTTCTCAGTAGATGCTCTGATGCTATCTACCTTAAGTATGGTTGGGGCCACCTGAGGATCTCCTCTGTGCAGCAGAAGTATGCTCCTGAGCCTGTAGGGATCTTGTCAACATTTTTGTCTGACTAAGTCAATAAAAATTCTTGTATCCCTCCCTCTTCTCCGGCATACACGTGTTGCAAACAGCAGCGTGAGCCGTACATGTTACTTCTCACCCGTGTTACCTCCTTTGCCCCTCTGGAAGTGGCCTTGATGGAGGAAGCTGCTCCTCTAGAAAAAGGGCCGTTGGGACAAATTGAATAATTCTGACAGGAAGGAGATTGCTTCATGTTGCTTCTTTGGTAATAAATGGTGAAGGCTAAATGGACTGAGCTTTCCCATCATGCTGTTGACCAGAAAAAGTCTTTTTCCAGCACTGTTCTTCATCACTGTATCAAGAGGTAACATGCCCTTATTGAACCAAGCCTGCTCTCAGCTCCATACGCTCCAGCAAGCTGTATTAAGCTTTTGTTTGGCTTTTAGCCTTGCAAGTGAATTATAGTAAGCTGGCTTATGGCTATCATTTTCAACATACTTAGCATGTCCCTACACGCTTTGAGAGCCCTATCCCGGATTCACGTGCATCTCCAAAGCAGCCCCAATGGACCATTTGAAAATCCTCCTGTCCCTTGATGCAGG